TTTTATTTATACGTTTTTATAAACGTATATTATTAACATGTGTGAAACTCTTAATAGCATGTTTAACTAGCCAACAGGGGGCAGCAGATAAACAAGTTATTAATTTGCAATACAAACCGGCGCAGAAACTTTGTTTTCAGATTTTTCTAATAGTACCAGAAGAATTGTAAAAGTTATTTTATACATATATATATAAAATAATTAACATACATTAGATAGAAAGGTGGAGCAGGTGAAAAAATAATAGCTAAACATAGTTCTAAAGTGAAAGGGACAAAACAGCTCAACAACAAGTGAGGGAATGCAGCTTTACAAGTTTTCAGCCTGCCTGTATTACCAACATATATATACATATCGAAACTATATTGTCATACGTTATTTCAAAATAAAAAACACTGTAGTGTACAAAATTATTGAGCCACCCCTCACTTCTCAATAGTTTGCTTCCAAGGAGCCAGGCTGTTGAAGCGGTCTTGAACAATGCTACTCTGGACTTTCTGATGGTTTTCCTTTAGACATTGGCTGCTTTATCACTCATTTACAGTCCAGGGCTTGTAGCTGACCATTGTTTTTGTTTGTTAAGCCACTTAACATTGGCTTAACAATGTCAAGTCATTCCAGCAAACAAAAGGCACCTAACTCAAGTTATGAATGTCATGTGCTTAAGATATTACGGGTAAAATCCAGCAAAGACCCAACACATTCAGCCTATTCGTTGATCCATCTGCTGTTTGCTGAAGCCTCATCACAAATGGTTTCAGCGGAAGAAGAAGCCCTTTTTAAAGAAGGGAAACAGTGAGAAAAGGCTGATGTATGCCAAATTACATAACAACTGGGACTGAAAATCAGTGGCAACGGGTCTTAGAGAGTGATGAATCCAAGTTTCAAATCTATGTTTCTAATCATCGTCAATATGTGCAAATATCAAGAGAGAGATACAACTGTGAATCTGTAAAATATGCCAGAGGCTCTGTCAAACTTCGGAGCTGCATGTCAGCCAGTGGTGTTGGGAATGTTGTGAAAATTGTTTCATCAATTTGAATTACGAACATAAGAAAAGTGCAGTCAGATTTAAATCCACCATGCAGTACCAGCTGATTGGCACTGGGTTTGTTTCTCAGCATGATAAAAAGCCCAAACACACTCAGTGCAGTAAAAGCATAGCTGGATAGAAAAAACACAATATACCAGCATCCCCAGAGCCCGGACCTCAACACTTTTGAAGCAGTGTGGGATCATCTTGACAGAAAATGGAACAAAAGGCAGACCAACATCCAAAGAAGAGATGTGAATGCCATCAAAAAGCCTGGAGAGCTATTCCTGAAGACTATTTAAAGAAATGAAAAAAAAAAAGCCTTCCTAACACAGTTAAGGCTGTGTTAAAGTATAAAGGTGATCAAATCAAACAATGACAATATTGTCATGGCTGCTGAGGCGAGCCGTGTGGTGTAGAAGGGAGAAAGGACCCAAAACGCAGGCAGTACCTGATAATGTTAGTGATCTTTATTTACACAGAGGGGAGATGGCAAAACAGGCACAGAGGGAAGACAAAACTAAAGACCTAAACTGGAAAAACTAAATGACAAACCTGAGAGGGTACCAGAATGGGGAGAGGCAGAGCGCCACGGACGAGGGACAGGACACCGTGGAACACAGACAAACCGGCAACAGGCAGGAGAACACACAGGGCTTAAATACACATAGCAGTAATCAGGGGATGAGAGACAGGAGGGCAACACACCTGAGAGAAATCAGGGCTGATGGGACAGGGGAAACGTAAACTGAACACACTCACATGAGACAGAGACCTTCAGAATAAAACAGGAAACTCACAGACACAGAACAAGATGCAGAACTAAACAGACTGATTCACAAACAGACGGTATGACACCATAGACAGACAGAGACACAGACACAGACTCCTAAACAGGCATAATGACATCAAGGACAGACGGGGGGAACATGGAAGGAGGACCAGGACAGGCACAGAACAGAAACCTAACAAAATGGCGAATAATAATGAAATACCTAATCAGAATAACAAAAGCATAAAGAAACATAAAACACTGAGACGTCAGACTCAGGACCATGACAAATATTGTATTTCCATGCATGTTTTCACACATTTCAATAAGTTTCTGGAACAATTTCCCCACTCTACTAGCAAAAGCTAAACAAATTAGGGGTAGCTCAAGACTTTTGCATAGTATCATATGTACTTTAACATCCTCAGCTCTGACAAGAAAGGTCTACCACAAAACCCTGAGCATGAGTGAGATCAGATGTTGTTTCTGTGGCTTCAGAGTCCAGCTCAGAGTTACCGTTTGTAGTTGAATTTAGGGCTTAATGCAGGTCGAGTTCCACAGTGAACTGTATGTTTTGTTATGCTTTTCCATTCTTGTAGCAAAGTTGCCCAAAAATATGTACCTGTATTTGTTCATATTCCTTTATATATTCAGGGATGTATCTTTAGTAAATAAAGAATTTAGCTGTATATCGAAGGAACAAAATATGAAAGCATATCATGCATTTTTTGTTGTTGTTTTGTCCAGAGGCTGACGATGAAAGCACTTATGGTTCTGATGTCAGCAATGAGTCAGACAGCACTGAACCATCAGATGAGGAAGACAATGAGGAAGACAATGAGGAAGACAATGAGGAAGACAATGAGGAAGACAATGAGGAAGACGTTTTACCCTGCAAGTTTTACAACAAAGGAAACTGTAGGGACGGAGATAGGTGTGCTTACCTACACGTCTGCAAGTATGCTCTTAAAGGAAACTGTCGTTACGGCTCCAAATGTAGACTAAACCACCCTGTAAGTCAAGGGGTGTCCTCCAGTGCAAGCAGCAGGACTCCGGATCGGTCATCATCTAGTCGTGGTGAGTATTTGCTTTTGGGGTTTTTAGTTGTTGGTTTTACGGCCACAAGACGTTTGTTTTTTTGTTTTTTTTAATTTTATTTAAGTGAGAAAGATTATTCACAAGTGGAAAACATTCAAGACAGTTTTTAGTCTTCCCAGGACAGGATGTTCCACTAAATTTCCCACAATGTCAAACTGTGCAATGCTCAAAGAAACCAAACAGCTACATTTCAGGCTTGCAGGCCTCTACAGGCCTCAGTAAACATGTTAAATGTTAAATTTCACGAAAGCAGAATTAGAAAAAAAAAACTGAATAGTATGGGCGTTTTTCAGGAGAACTTCTTCTCCTGTGGTGGAGGGGTGATAATTTGTTCTTGTTTTACCGCCACGAGACCTTGGGCGTCTTACAGCCCCTGAATCGACCATGAACTCCTCTGTTTATCAAAGTATTTTACAGTCCAGTGTGAGGCCATCTAGCTGACAGTTAACACTTTGGTCTCCAACAATATCAGCTAGTTCCTAACAAATAGCTGCAAGAGCCACATTTTACCTTATACATATATTTACATGTTCGAGCCATATTAGAGCAGCTTTAATGTCCGGTAATAAGTCACTAATTACAATGTAATATATAATGTCTTTTTGTTTTGTTTTTCTAACCAGACCAGAGGCTTACTGATGGCCGACGCTACCAGTGGCAGCTCAATAACGGAAGAGGCTGGAAAGATGTTGAAAATGATCACATCCTTGAGGCCCAGTATTCGCTGCCCCACACCAAAAGCATCAAAATATACAACACATCATACGGGTAAGCAATGAGTTTATGAAGAACCTTTTATTTCCAGGCACACTGCAGTCACTACATGCTTCAACTTTCCTCTCTCTACAGGGCGGTGAGCATAGACTTTAAAAGGATGAAAGTTTTTGGGAAGAAATTGAGAGTGAGACGCCTGGATGACGGTAACACTGCGTGGATTTGGTACTGCATGTTGGGTCGTCATTGGATCAAGTATGGAGCCAAGGTAGATAGCAACTAGATCTTTGCTTAAGTTAATGGAAATTGTTCTCCTTTGTCTGTTTGGTAATGATTCTTCTCTCCCTCGTGGACAGGATTCAAAGGGCATCTGCACTCCTGTGGAGAGCTCTGACATAGAGGAAAAGTTTCAGAGGAATCCAACAAGCTCCTTTACTTTTAACATCAATGGTGAAACTTTGGAGCTCAAATTTAAAGGTGAAGTGTATTCACTAATCTGTAAATTTGTAACACCCTTCCAGCTAAATTCCAGCTTTTTCTTAACAGTCATTGTTCCTTATTTCTGTTTGTTTGCTTAGAAATGCGACAGGTGAGTAAAAACAGAAAGAGGAAAGTCACCCGTCGACCTACGTACCGGCAACCACAAGCAGTCGGGGGGTGAGTGTTAATTTTCCTCAAGGATTTTTGTTCAGTTAAAAATTGTCAAGAAGATAAGATAAGAGAATTTAACATAGCTTTCTGTTTTATGAAATATTTTTGATTTTGTTGTCACAGAGTTTCTCCAGCAACCTCAGGTTTCCAGAATCTTAGCTTGGGCACTAAGCCACAGTGGGAATTTGAAGGCGACAGTGGAAGATGGCACAAGTTCAAACACAGGGTATGTCATCTGTGCAGTGGATGTTATTTTTAGGATTATTCAAAGTACAATTTCTGAGTTATTGCATCGACATAAATCATCACAGTTTGTCTGTGGATTTTGTCTCAACAGAAAAGGACTTCCACTGACTGCTCAGTAACCAGTGATGACATTGAGAGCAAGTACCAACAAAACAACAAAGACACCATGCTCTTCACAGTGGCAGGACAATCCTACAATCTTGACTTTGGAGGTTGAGTTTTTATATTTTAATCCTATAGTAAAAAACTCAAAATAATAATTAATTGTTGGCTCTTAGAGGCATTTTAATAAACAACTGACTATCCATAGCTACCTGTTCCAATATGAAAAAGTGATGTAACATTTATTTAACATTAGACTTTTGTTGATTTGTTTATGATTTTCCACAGCAATGATCCAGACCAACGTCAGGACCAATCACACACGCAGGGTGAGACGTGTGCTGGTGTGAGCCATCAAGATGATTTCCTGACCTCCAGAAGACTGTGCAGCGACGTAACCACGATGCTGCCGCGTTCCTCTAACTTGAGATTTATCTGAGATTTATTTTTGGATGGTTAACACATCCTTTTTATTGTTGAATTTCAGAATTTACCTCATTGCAGGCCTTTTCTTAGGTGAAGTTTACAAGGACACTTTTAAATGCTGCCTGACAATCTTCCACTCCAATAATGCATTCTACCAACTTGCCTTTTAGCATCATGGTTGTTTAAATTATTCATCTTATCAACTCAGGTCACAGTGAGCATTTTTTTCCACACTTCCATATGGGGATGGAGGGGAAAATTAGTTCTTATAGCCAATAATTAAACAAAAGGAAGTGTATAACAAACACTTTGAATTCATGGGATATGATACATTTGCCTTTATTTTAATGTAGAAAAATGAGATGTAACTGAGCAATACTAGTTCGAGGTCTTTTTGCACATTATCTTTGAGGTCTTTTTATGCTTTTAACACACAAACTGCCTTGAAAAGTCTCCGTGCCTCTTTGCATTGTTCCACAGTTTTTGCTTTTTGTGGTTTATTTAGCTTTGCACAAATGCACCAGAAACGGGTTTCACTGATTTGGGAGAACAGACTACTGCATCTTTGGTATTCTCTAAATGTAATAAAAAATGTTTGAAAATTGATTGATTGATTGATTGATTGATTTAATCTTTATTTTGAACATGTTGAAAAAGTACAACAACATAGAATTAAAAGAGACAAATGAACAAAGCAAAACAAAAAGAAAACGAGCAAAAACAACTACAAATAACTTTCATGTTCAAAAAGGAGCAGGAAGAAGCATAAGCTTATTTAATCCCACCCCTTTTCCACTATCTAGTAAT